CCCCAAAACCCCAAAACCCCTGAGTATAGAAATTTCAACATAAAGGAGTTTGATGAAATTACATTAACGTAAAAATTTAATCTTAAATCAGGGTTTTAATCATTTTATGAGTTAATATTCAATAATGTAAAATGACAAATCCTCATAAACTCTCTAAATCATGTCTTTCATTGTACTTCTTAATTTCAAAATTAAGGTGAGCCAGCATAGTAATTTTCCAATATATTTGGAAAATATCTCTCATCAGTGCAATATTAATCATCTTAAGATGATTGTAATTATGAATTTAAAGAATCAAATACGAATTCACCAAATGAATATTCTGAGATCGTATCATCTATTTAAGGATCTTACTATTTAACCAAGAATATTGAAGGACTATAATCCTACTCTTGTGTAGATCTATTTTATTCTGACAAATTCATGGATTTCATCTTAGAGTTTGAAGGCATTATCTTAGTACCATCATTTGAATCAGTTATTATATCACTAATTGACATGGAATGAGACTTTTAGATAGTAAATTTTTTGGCATTATAATCTAGCTTTAAACCTTAGGTTTAATGTTGATTTAGTGCGTCATTTTTGTTTGTAGATTGTTTGATATCGATAATCTGTTAGGTGTTCACATTGACTTTATTAAAATCTAGGATTAAAGATATTTATTAGCATCCTTGGCCAGAAGTTAATCTAATCGAACTTTCTTTTACTGGTGAGTTAGGATGCCTTTTTAAGATATGTTTGACTAACTGATAATTTCTGTAGTAAGAAGCTTGACAAAGGCGGCAATTGTATAGTCTATAAAAAGGAGTTGAAAGGGATTTCAAAATTATATGTGTTGTTTATATCAATAAAAAGAAGATAATTAGTTCAATATACATACCTCGCTTTTACATGTCTTCTTTCATGATCTTTACAATTCCCAATAGATGAAAATTTCTTGTTACAAAATTAGCATTAAAAAGGTTTTTCTCCTGTATGAACCCTTTAATGCACTAGCAAATTTCCTTTCTCTGCAAAAATCTTGATACAGCCAACGTGTTGGCACTAATGCAAATTTTCTTAATAATGCTTTGTTTTTTTGTGCAATTCCATTCTACTTGACCTTGCAAAAGATTTGAAGCATCCATCGAAATCACATTCAAATCTTTATCTCTAGGATAAGCGCTTCGTTGACGAGTTAATCTTGTCGATTAAGGGCTTAATATAAGTCTTAATTTATCTACGGTTTTAGTGTAGGAAGGGATTTTAGCCTATAAAGTGTTTTTACTCCTCTTAAGTTTAGATCATGAGTAATTATTAATATTAATAATTGATGAGGGAATATAAAATTAATAGAGATAGTGTAGTATAAATTTCTCAACTAACTTAATAAAATATACATTCCAACATCAAGTGTATAAGAATTACTTTGCCATCAAATTGATATGTAATCTAAAATGATTTGGTCTATTCTCTAAAAATAAATGGGTTTAGGATATTGAGATAAATAAATACTTAAACTTGGGGAAAGAAGCATATAAAGTTCTAAAGATATTTTTTTTCTTGGTTACCCTCACTAAATATTTTATCAATCAATATTTACGGGTATATTCTAGACTTTTAACTAGGATAATAAAAAGGATTCCTTAACAAAAGTGAGAAAAAAACATGCGTAACCTTATTTTAAATCAAAATTATTGAATCTAAAATAATATGAAGGTATTTCAACAAGCAATGAGTGCAGAGATCTGTAGCGATTTTGAAATTTAATAGAAACCTTGATTGATTAACGAGATTTATTGAAGAAAAAATAATCAGGTTACATTTGAGCATTAATAATGATGATAATGAAGAGATTAATAATTAAATGGAAAAGATTTTAGATGAAGTGAATTAAATAAATACGTTAATTGGAGTATGAAATGGTATTTCTAAGAATTACAAAAATCATAAATATAAAAATGATTTGAATATTATCATGTGAACTTGAAACTTAGAAAACCATATTTATAATCATCTTGGAATATATGATATTCTGATTAGAACAATCATCAAACTTAGGAAGCAAAATTAAAGTTTCTATGATTGGAAATATCTAATATTTCTAAGTTACTAATTTAGTACTTTCATCAATAACTTATTTTTAAAATTCAATTAAATTTAGATTTAATCTTTATTATTCCTCTTTGACCCATAAATTAAATTAAAGCTACTTCAACTGATGGGGTTTTGGGGTTTTGGGGTTTTGGGG